GCGGAACGTTAGAGATTGAACTAACAGATTCTGCAGAGTGGGAGAATAGAGATAGAATGAGGTAGAAATATGAAAAAGGGGTCCCTATGTCCTCCAGCAGTCTAAGCCTATAGCAGCATAACTATAGAGATAGCTCAGGATAACAGTAGACCCTGAGTTTCATCTTGTGTTTTTGTTTTTTTTGTTTTTTTGCTTCTTTATTTTAGGTAAGGTTGTTGGGATTAAAAGAGACACACACTCCCCCAACCTGCCCCCCGAGCTTCCAGAGAGGCGTGGTCAGCAACACCTCAGCCTTCAGGTTCCTCAGCGCTCCCACAGCTCCGCCTCTTCCTCAGAGGAAAACAGCTCGTCCAGCGCCGCCCTGCCTCTGCTGGCTGCAGGGAGAGACTCCCCCTCACCGAGCACCGAGGAGCGCGCCCTCCCCGTCTGCAGCAGGAACCACACAGAGTGAGTGACCAAGTGATGAGAGGGAATCATTCGTCTCCTCAGGATTCAGCAGTTTGTCTCAAGGCTTTTACCTCCATAACCTTTCATCATCATGTCCTCTATTCTGTCAAGTAGAACTGTCCCTGCTCTATTAAATCACCTGCACAGCATTATTCTGCCACTGCCGTGCCTCCCAGTAGAGCTTCCAGTTTAAATGACCTTCTAGCCATGACATCATCAACTGAGTGAATTCTGGCATTTAATGGAAATCATCATCAGGGTTTCCAGGGAGCCTTAAAGGAAAAGTCTGGTCAGCAAGGAAAAATAATTATCTATACCTAAAGCTAATAAGTTTGCTGCTCAGACCCCCACATACCGACAGTGCTCTGTCACTGTGTATCCCCAGCAGCAGCCACCACAGGTCCGGTTGCCTACTGTTGGTGGCGGCTTCTGAAATTCTTACATTCTGAACATTTGAGTGAGGTTTCTGGGGGGGGGAAATTAGGACGTACCAAAGCTGTACGTCCCAAAAACAGGGTAAACAATGTACGCCTGCACACATTGCTAGCTAAATGCCTGCGAGTCGGTATCGGTTTCAGAAAGGAAAAAATTTATATTGCAACAAATATCATTTGGGAAACAATCTGAGGTTAACTTAAAATGTTGGCAAAATTTTAACCAATTTTTCAAACCATTTTTATAATAAAAAAATGTCATTGCTTTCAGTAATATTGGGCCAATTTTTCAGATTTATGGCTTCAAAGTCAATGCTGGTCCTTGAATTTAATGGAAGTCCTTAAACGCTCATTAAATTTGAAGTGAGGGAACCCTGAGTGACGGAAACGTTTAGAGGAGCTGAAGCCAGGCTGATGGATCTGAGGTGGATGTTTCTCTCTGAGTGTGATGATCTGCTCCCAGCTCTCTGACCTGCTGTGTTTCTGCTTGCAGCGCTTTGGGGGACGTCCCGGAGATCTCCCCCGTCTCCCCCAACAGCTCCCAGGATCGTGTCTCTGTACGATCGCCTCTCTGCTCTCCCCTCAAGCGGCAGTCGTCCGTCCACTCCGGCCGGCTGGGCAGCACTAAGAGCCTCTCTGCTGCCGTCTTCGCTGACAAGCCGCCCCCAGTGCTCTCCGGTGGCGTCGGCGGCGTCCAGTTCAGCAGCGAGGTTTCCCGCAGCGACGAGAACGTCCTGGACTCCCCTCGCCAGCGCCGAAGCTACGGCTCCTTTCCCTTCACGCCGTCTGCAGACTCCAACTCCTTCCATCAGTACCGCTCCGCCGACTCCAGCATGTCTGTGGCCGAGAGCGAGGCATACTACTCGGCCACAGAAGACTTTGAGCCAATCAGCAGCGCCGACGAGGGTCCAGGGACGTACCCAGGCCGTAAGAAGAAGAGGAGGCAGCCGCCGCAGCAGCCTCCGTATCACATGGAGAACTACAGGTCAGTGATGTTGAATGTTCTGCAGGAGTTTATGTCTGAGATCAAACACTGGAAGGTTCAGAACGTTTACAGGAACATCAGAGAGGCGCCCAAGCTTTACTGATCTGTCTGGAGCGTTCTGACCTCGCCACATTTCACCATGAAGCCTTAGATGAGAAATCAGAGAGACGGAGATTAGATTAGAATAGATTAGATTAGATAAGAGAGGAAGGATCCTCAGCTGAATTTAAGAAGGAAGATGAACCCCTGGAAACACGTTAAAGTTTACTCCTCCCACAGCAAGCATCAATCCATCAGTCCGTCTGTCCATCTATCATCCACCTGCCCATTATCCATCCAACCATCCATTATCCAACCATCCTGCAGACTCCTTCCAACAACCAGTAAACAACCTTCTCCTTTCCAACCAGCCTGAAGCTCCCAGGAGTGAAATGAGTGATTCTGTCTGGTTTTTAACACGGTGAGCTGCAGCTGTCTGATTCTGAGAGCCTGAACCTCAGAGGTCGATGGTCCGTCACTTCCAGCCACGACCGCCAGGCTGCAGGCTCAGATCGGCCATGTTTGCTTCATTCCTCGTTTTTATTTATTTATTTTTTTGTTTCACAATAAAACCAGAAAAAAAAAACCAAATAATTATTTTCTTTTGATTAAAAGTTAATTTTAAAAAGGAAAACTCTAAAACCAAAAACTTATTTTAATGGTTTAATTAAAGACTTATTCAGTATTTTATGACCCCAAGAAGGAGATTCTGGATTGCAGCACCTGAAATGAGCTTCCTCTGCAGGGAGGCTGGGCTCTCCCTTAGAGATGGGGCTCAGGAGCGGAGTTATCCTCCACATTGAGAGGAGGATCAGACATCTTTGATGGATGTTGCCTGGACGCCTCCCTCTGAGGGATGACCCAGAAAACCCTGGAGGGACAGTGTCCCTGAGCTGTCCTTGAAGCGCTTCTGGCTTCCCCCAGTAGAGCTGGAGGAGGCGTTTGGGAGTTCTGGACATGCGGAAGAAAGTTGATTTTTAATTATTGCAACGATTTGCATTTCCTTTTCTCAAATGGGAGAAATAGAAAAATAACACTGGTATTTTTTATTTATTTATTATCTCAGAAGAACCAAGAATAAACCAAACATGGATCCAGGAGATGAACAGTGTTCATCTGTTCACATCTGGAGCCCGGTTCAGTAGGATTCCTCTTTTCTGATGAGAGAGCAGTTTTTCAAATGTCTAATTTTCTCCCCAGTAGATCTTCAAATATTGATGGAGGTTATAAAAACATGTTTAACAGAAAAAGGCTGCAAAGTTCCTGCTGCAGAATATTTCATTTAGTGTGGTGATTAGAAATTAAAGTAATATAGCATCAAACCCAGCAGCTAGAAGAAGGAAGGTAACAATAACAGCTGATTTATCTGGTGAAACGTGTCGGTAATTTGATATAAGAAGTTAAACTTAATGACTTTTTAAGAAAAGGAGCAGAAATGAGGCTGGAATGAATCCATCTCTGTACCTAAAGCTTCATGTTAAATAGCCATACCAGATGTAATTGCAAGGTTTTAATTGACTTCCATCATCTTAATTTTTCCTACGGGGGGATTGGGATGACTCCATATCATCCATACATGAGATGCAGAGTAAAATCGAGTCATTTAGGATCATTAAGGAGCTTCTAAACTGCTGATAGAAATGGTTTCCTGTTTGTTCTGAACTGTGAGAAAAAACAGACGCTGTTGGAATTGAAATCTTAACCTGCTGCCCCAACATCTTCCTTTCTTTTTTCAATTCTATTTTTGTTATTTTCCAGCTATCCGTTTATTCCATTGCATTGTCTAGCTAGACATCCACATTTCACAGGATATACAGATAGGGTCTCCCTCTGGAAGACACATTAATAAAAAATCATTAAAAAAGAAATTAATAACATACAAAGATTAACAACATAACTGGCTGAGACCAAAAATGCTGCGGTGCACTTCTGTTATACGATGGGAAAAAATAAGTAAATAATTTTCTGATGCATAAAGTAACCTGTAGCTCTCACCTTTAAATAAATGCTGTAAAATAGATTATTAATAAATATTCCCTCAAAGTAGTAAATATCCCCATGAAATAAAAAAAAAACATATTCTAGGAATAACTTAATTTTTTATTGTAGTATTTTTTTCTTTCTCAAGATCATTTATTTTTTCTAAATTAATTTGTTTCAGAATATGTTTGAATTTTCATTTATTTAGTAAAGATGACTTATTTCTTTCTGACTATTATTTAAACCTGTTTTTCCTTATTTTTAATACATAGTGTCTTTTATTTAATATTCTTCTATTTAAATATATATATATGTATATGTATGTGTGTGTATATATATGTATGTGTGTATATGTGTATATATATATATATATATAAGTTTTATTTCATGTGGCTGTTATTTATTTGTTAATGTTATTAATTGTTAGTAACTGTACTTATTTGTTTAATTTTGATTTAAACACCTCTACATAGATCACATTTTATACATTCCTTCTATTTTTTAATACAATATAAATGATTTTGTTGTAGAAACAGGATGAAAAACGTTTGTTTGTGAAGTAAAGAGTCCAGAGCAGGTGAAGCAGGACTGAATGCGACTCGTCTGCAATTATTATAAAAAGGCTGTGATGGAGCGATGTGCTGGAATACATTAACAGTGTTATGACACTCTGGTTTAATACCAAAAAGTCATGAATTTCATTGTGAAACTTTCCCTGAGGCTGAACATGTTGCAGCTTTAATTTATTGCTTAGACTCTCTCCTAAATGCACAGACGGAAGCTCGATCCGCCAGCAGCCACTTACCGCCAGAACGTCTCTCAAATTGGATTCCTCTCCAGCTCTGCAGCCTCCGCGTCATTCTTCTGTTCCCCCAAATTGTTTTCACATTGATTTCTGAACGCTTCGGAGCTGCGTTAAAGCTGGGTTCTGTTCAGAAGCATGAAAACAAGGCGCAGTTCTGCCAAAAAGCCAGACGCACAATCAACACTCATATGAGCGGTCTGATGTAACACATGTAACCAGATCCCCTCTGCGTTGTCCTGGTTAGTAGTGAGGGACTAGGATGTGTCTAATTGGGACGTTACGGGATCCCCATTTATTCTGATGAGAGGAAAAAAAAAATCCTCCAAATTACATACAAAACAAAACTAAATTCCTGCTCCTTTACTGCTGAGCTGAAATACTGATTTTTATAATAATTTATATTATTGATATATAT